TGACTATGCACATTTTCAGTTATAATTACATGCTGTCTTGCTTCTGACCAATATAACCCTAGGAATAATTAAGACTGCAGAAGAATAGCTCAGGCAACATCATATACATTTAAAATAGCCATTATAGGAAATAAAAATAAGAACCAAAGAAAGATGTAATAAAAGACACATAAGAAACAGATAACAAAAAAAATGCATCTAATGGATAAGAAATAAAGGGTACACATAAGTATTTTTCCTTTCCCTCAATGGAAAGAAAATAATTGAAAATGTCATTTCTTTATACATAATATACTTCAAACAGCTTTTCACATTTGTTTAGAACTGGTGTCTCAGGTTCCATGCAAACAGGATTAGAACATGATAAAATCTAGAGGCCTAAGACCCTAAGCCTAACTTGAAAATTTTCAAGAATTTCATGCTAGATTCTGGAGGCACTAAACTTAGCAAGAGTTACATAGAGAAGCAAGAGATTTCACTTTTCAAAGATGTTGCATTAAGGTTCCCATCATCATGTTCCTATTCTCTATTCTATTCTATTCTATTCTATTCTATTCTATTCTATTCTATTCTATTCTATTCTATTCCCTATTCTATGTCCATTCTGACTCAATGATGTCACAGTCTGTATGGTCACCCACACCACATGGGACTTGTTTCATGAAACATGTTCAATAAGAGCCCCAAGGGTCAGGCCAAGGCTGACTGCTCTTGCAATAACTTTCCTGGCATCTCTTCTGCAGCCAAGGTACCTCTTCCCCTGCCACAACATGTATTCCAGAAGGACAGTGGTAGAGCCTGAATCAACCTGCAACACCTCAGCAATCCTCCACCTAGTCTACTTTTGCGAGAGCATGGTCAAAGACACGGCAAATCTGGCCGGCTCTTCTTATGGGTCTCATTGCTGTGTTACAGCAGTAAAAGAATCTTTACCTAGAAGAACAGTTCCTGCTTCCAAAGCAATTCCTCTACTAATAATAATAACAGAGTGTCAACAAGAACCAGAGCTATCCTCATCCTTTCAATGCTGTGCAAAAAGGAAGAACAGCAAGGTTACTGAATGGCCAATGACAGGCCAAGCCAAGCCCAACCTTTTACTCTGTAGAAGAGCCTTAGCTCTCAAATTCTTCCAGCTGGAAGACAGTTGTTTCTCATCTCTCTATATTTTAGCTTTGAAATACAAAGATATATATACACGTACCCTTGTAAAAGCATACTCATGATACACACGGATTGAGGTAGAGAATTACTGCAAGGAGAAGCTTGGTGAGATATGGCAAGTGTATTTTAGCTTTAGTTCCATTCTGCTTTTTTTACTTTTGAGAATTGCTCTGCAGCAGCTCTCAATATATTGAATGGCACCACAGCTACAATCCTGCTTGACTGTTACTTTTTATTAATCCCTAGTGTTATTCTGAAGCTTGAGAACATCACTCAGATATAAAGAAATGTACCTATATAAATAAGTGCTCATTCACTGGTATGATTGACTGTTACATACAGGAAACCAAATATAAAGTTGACAAGAGTGTAGAGAAGTTAACCTGTAGTGTGCAAATGGCTAAAAAGGGCCACTGCTTGATTCTGAGCTCTCTGTGCTGCTTGCAGTTTATTCTCCGCTTTCTTCCTCTTTACTATTTCATCATCTATTCATCTTGTGACACCAACTATTTGGGCTCTGTGGACCTCTCCAATTTCTCTCTCTAAGCCAGAAAGTAATCACAGTGTAGGTTGGGAGCATGACATTACTGTTTCTCATGCTAAGCAACTGCAAACTGCTCCCAGGAGGATGCCTATTTATTACTGGCTCTGTGCCGTAAAAGACTGACCTAATGAAGCACTACAGAGCAGCTGATGTTGGCAGCTTTTGTTGTATGCACAATTAGAGGTGCATTTATTGGCACAAAATATTTGTGCCTGAAGTCCACCACATACAGGTGCCCTGCCTTGATAATTCYGTGGTGTGGAATTTTTCCTTGGCTGCCCTTTCAAAACCATGCGGAAAATCTGCATTTGAATCCCTTAAGGTTGCAATTGACTCTTATGAAAAAAAAAAAGAAAAAAGAAAATTTGTTCAGTAAATAACCTCAATTTAATTGCCATTTTTTTAAACTAGAAACTAGTATTTTGTAATAGTAATATACATAAAAGATCTACAATATTTAATGTATCAAATGTAAAGTCTTGTGTAAGTCATGTTAAAACATATCAATTTTCATGTTTATCAGCTTCAAAAAAGACCGAATAATGCTGGAGGTAACGAAAAAAAATATAAATCTAAGAAGATACCCTCCTTTTGCAACATATTCTAATACCTTTGGCATGTGAAAAAATACCCATTTTTCAAGATTATAATATGTGATATTATATATGATATATATGATTATAAGCAGTACATAAAGTGAGCTGCATCTGACAAAAAAAAAAAAAGATTTGAATTTGAGGTAGGTATAACTAGATATATTTAGACATCTATATTTGGTTTCCCAAACAGCTGAGGTAGGTAACTTAATTATCTAAACTCCAGTAGGTGCCTAGCATAGGTCAGATCAGTCATGTCATTACAATATCTATCCTTCTGYGCTCAGAGGTAGACAACTACCGTGTTTAGAGTTGAAATGTTAAAGAGAGTTGAAATGATTCCCACATCCCTAAATACTGAAGAACACTGTATTTCTGTGCTCTGAGATTTAGAGGTAGGTAGGTGCAATCACTGAAGGAATAGAATATTATTCTATTCCTATAGTCAATATTATACAACTCTTCTGCCTGCTCTCCCCTCAATCCATCCATCTCTCCAAAGATTAGCTGTTTGTCTCAGAATTTTTATTTTAAAAAAACACAAAATCAAGAAATGAACCCTTCAAACCTTCTTATGATTGAAAGGTTCAAAACATGAAGGGCCAAACTGACCCTCCCCTGAAACAAGCAGCAGGGAAGTGCAGTGAGTGAAAGGGGAGCCTGCAGTACACTGAGGAGATGGTGATCCACATAAGAGTCAACTCGAGTCAACTCACATGGACACAGGCCTGTCCGGGGTTGCACATGTGGCCACAGGACAAACTTAGTGRCTAATTATAATGGAGGAGCCTGTAGGCAGCTCCCAAATGGCACCGGCAATTATGCCACCTGCATCTCCCTGTCTTTATCTATTAGAGAGGCAACATGTTATCATATGAACACCCTTTTGCTTGACAATAGGTCTGTCTGATGATGTATCACTCGGGGTACCCAGTATCAGAAGGGACAGGAGATTTATCACAAAATCACAGGAGGATTTAACTGCCAGCATTTTCTTCCGCTCCTTTGAGCTATCTTTGAATATTCTGATTAAATGCCCTATTATACTTAGAGGCTTGAGTGGGCACACTTTCTTGCCAACATCAGAAAGAACTAGCACCTACCTGGTATATAAAAATAACTAAAAATATGTAATGACCACCTCGCTTAAATCTTTATGCCTACTGTGCATGTTAGCTGAATAGGGAAAATTAAACACCTGGGGCTAGGATCCCCAAAGTCAATATGTCAAACAGCACTCTCAGCAYGCAGCTGCTGACTGTTAGTCATGTGGAAAACACTGAGATGGAGAAAATCCTWAATTCTCCCTAGCCAATTGCTCACTCAGGGCAATCAGGGCTGAACTCTTCCATAAAAATAAGCACTTCTGCTGGATTGGATAGAAATGAGGAAACTTACTCTGTACCTCCCAATACCTAGGTGAAAGCTCAAAGGCTGTTTTCTAAATAGGTAGTTCTTTCTCCTTCAAGTAAGTTATAAAAGCAAGAGGTGGCTGGAAATCTATTTTGCTAGTACACAGAAAAATGATTACACTGAGCACCATATACGATTAATGGGAAGGACACCCAGCCTCCTGGTCTCCAGCGGACTAAATGCATGAGCTAGATGCTGAGTTGATCAACTGAGTCTAGATTTGGACAAAATAAAGTTATTTTAAAATTATATAGGCACACAATATAAGAAAGCAAAGCACCTATGGTTTGAAATGATGCTGGACTAAAGTAAGGGCTTTTATAAAAGGAAATTTAGGACTTCAGTTCTCAAATCTTTACCTAAATCTGACTTCAGGTCAGATTAGAAGTACATAGTTACATTAGCAGTTACATAAGGTCACCAAAGTTATAGCAAAGAGAAATTAAACCTTACATGACATATGATTTTTGGCACATAATTTGCACTACTTCTAGAACCAAAATACGATCATCGTATTATTTTCAAAACCATTAAAAAAAAAAAAAAAAAAGCTACATATCATTCTATGCAACACTACATATTAACCTTTTGAGTATTAGGTTAATATTTAAGTGACATGACTGTTTCTTCATGGGTAAATGCACAAGAACTCAAATAAGAAGGAAGTTTCTGTTGTAGAGGTAGGTCTATTATATAGAAAAAACATTTTTAAAACMTTTTCAAATAGCAGATGTTGTGAAAGAGCTAGTTTCTGCAGACGTTCCTTTAAAATACTTTTGGCAGGGACATTAATTTCCAAGTAAAACAATTCGTAATCTTAAAGTAGACTATTTTCAAACTCTGATATAACCAGGTAACCAAATTGAATATATCATTAAATGACAGCTTGTAAATGACAGCTGAAGCATCCAGAAAGTTCAATATATTTTCTCTCAGGCTAGTAAATGTTGGAAATCTTTCAAGAAGTATTTTGTCTTTCCTATCATCGGTTCAATGATATAAACAGTGCTTGATTAAGCCTGCACTCCTTTCAGGTTGATATAACTGACTGAAAAATAAACAAAAAAAAAATATCTCAAAGTTAGAATTCTTCCTGAAAACTAACAGAGATCACAAAGTAAAAGACCAGTCTTCTATGGACACTTAATGAAGACAGGTTTCAAGGAGTTTYCTTAACCAGTGATACACTCGAGGACAAGACAAAAACAACAGATTTCTGCAGCTGAAGATTGTAATCACAGCAAATAAGGAAAATAACAAAACATATTGCTTTTTAAATCACTTACACTGGTTTTCCTTTGGATTCACAAGTCAAAACTATAGATTGTCCTTCTTCAGGCCATGAATTGGAAGAAATGATTTTAACTAAAGGTGTATCTAGGAAGAAAAAATAGACATCTTGTTGAAATACACAAAAGGATTTATTGTTGAAGTGTACTTTCTTCTCCATTTACAAAAGACTACACCCAATATTTAATTTACACTGGAAATGCTTTTATTTGAAGGCTTATGCAATTTTCATTGTCATCAAGAAGGCAATAAAAATGACCAATTCAACTGAAACACTAAATTTTTATATCCCAAGGAAACACAAATAGAAAACACATGTTTACTCAGAGAAAATAACTTTTTTTCTTTTTTCTGTATTTCATGCAAATACTCTGAGTATTCCACAGACTGATTCCTAACAACGGAATAAAAAATATTGAGGATGAATAACAAGTACTCTGTGCCATTGTTTCTTTGTCTATTTATAGGTTGATATGATGGAATACTGCTATTAGAGAAATGAATGCAATAATATACATTTGAATAAGAGCGCTTTTATTGTTGCAGAAGCTTGAAATTCATAATAAGAAACCTACAATGGGCTGTTAGATAAAATACCTTGTTACAGTCATTTTACAGGATATTATTTCTGAAATGCAATAATGCTGCCCCTAAAACAGAACCTTTTTTTTTTTTTTTTTTTCTTTCATCCCCATATTTACAAAAAGAATGATTAAATATCTGGAAAAAGCCCTATACAAAAGTCTATAACTATTCCAAAAAGCTTAAAAAAACTATTCCTGTATACTAGAATTAACTTCATGCTTATGACTGTACAAGGATATACAATATAAATATTGTGAATTCATGCAGAATAAAACAGCTGATAATAGGTCTTTAATTTTCAAAACATTTTGTCAGCTGGCTTGCAAACATGTAATAATTCACATAATCAAAATATGCTACATGACCTAAGTGAGTATCTCCTTATATGGAATAAAAAAGAGAAAATATCTCTATAGAAAACAGTTTTTACCTTAGAAATGAAGATTTTAGAGAGGAAAATTGTCAGACCTAACAGAAAAAGATAAAACTCCTCTATAGTTTCCTAGTATAAAAACAAATTTTATCTGTGGCACAAGAAATACCCTGAYTAGGGTTATCCAAGTTCTCACCCATACAATTTTCAATTCTTATCTGATTTAGTACTCAAGTGGCAGTGTGACAAGTGACACCATAGACATCCCATCATCAGCAAATATGAAAGATTATGACACTACAGAATCCAATGGGAAAAATGATATGCTGTAAAGATAAATCTCATACTGAGATGCTAATATTTCTATTAAGCTCTCAATAGTATGTAAACAACTGAAAAAAAAAAAAAAAACACAGAACAGTTGAGGTTGTAAGGGATCTCTGGAGATTATCTAGTCCAACTCCTCCGCCCAAGCAGAGCCACCTACAGCAGGACAGGACGACCTATGAGGATTTTGTCCTTCTGAGTTCTGAGTATCTCCAAGGATGGAGATTCCACAGCCTTTCTGAGCATCCTGTTCCAGTGTTCAGTGACCTTCATAATGAACATTTTTTTTTCCTTAGATTCAGTTGGAGCTTCCTGTGTTTCACTGTGAGTCCTTGCCTGTCATCCTTTCACCAAGCACCACTGACAAGAGCTTGACTACATYTTCTTTGCACCCTCCCTTCAAGTACTTATGCAGAGTGCAGATAATACCCTCCCTTAAGCCTTCTCTTCTCCAGGCTAAACAGGCCCAGCTCTCTCAGCCTTTCATTACATAAGAGATACTCAAGTTCCTTAACCATCTTTATAGMCCCTCTCTGGACTCATTTTGGTAACACGCTGGTACTGGGAGCCCAGAACTGGACCCAGCACTTCAGCTGCGGCCACCCCAGTGCTGTGCAGGATCCCACCTCAAACTGCTCACAGCACTCTAATGCAGCCCAGGATACCACTGGCCACCTTAACCCCAAGATCACATTGCGGGATCTTGGCTAACTTGTTCATGGACCCCCCAGGGCATTCTCTACAAAGCTGCTCTGTAGGAGCTCAACCCTCCGGCCTGTACTAGTGCACTGAATTATTCCTCCCCAGGTGCTGGCCTTTGTACGCCCCATTGTTGAACTTCCCGAGGTTCCTCTCCGCCCATTTCTCCAGCCTGTAAAGGTTCCTCTGAATGGCCGAACAACCCTCTCTGTGCATGTATCAAATGCCCAGACACAAAGATTTTTCTAATTTTTGAATTTTATTTTTGACATAATTATCAGTACTGCACAAAGAGAAGAGGAAGCTTTAGTGTAGAGTTGTCGTAATTCCACTGAAGTCATTGTTAGAGTCATTTAGATTTCAGTAGAGCTGTTCTTACCTACAGCAGTAGCCAATCTGTTCCACAAGTTCACATTTTTTAAGGACCCTGGAAACCATTATGCAGGCAACTAATCCTTAGGGTTCATGCAAGCATTTGCTTCATTTTTAGCACATGCTTAAGGCACTGACCTAAGTGCCTTGATAAATCACAGCATCAAGCACTTCTGTGATTTCAGCAGTGCTGCTGGAGATGAATAAGTTACTCTCCTGACTATACGTGGGACCATAGGAACAAATTAGTATCAGACAGGAATACATGAAGGATTTAACCAGAGGATGGAGACAACTAATGCAATGGGATCAGGAGATTTCCAGAGAAATGTGAAAAAGAACTAAATTTTTCATGGAAGTAATAATGATATCCAGAGGTGGAAAAAATAAAAATATAAAAAATAAAGGTCTACCTAGCTAGCATTGCTGGTTTAAATATTAAAAAAAAAAAAGACCAGTATTTTACACATTATTATAAGTGACCCATATAAAAATTGAAGAGAGACTTTCAAAAAATGAAGCTTGTTTTTACACAGATCAATGCAGAGCTGTTTCCTCACACCTTGATACTGTTCCCATTCCTGCTTTATTTAATGTCCCAGACAGCACTCTTCTCTTTTCTCTTCTAGACGGACGTGACTAACCCAGACTATAAAGGATCTTACAGCTATGTTTCACTGTCTAAAGCACAATTGTGCAGGAAATATGTATTTGCTTGTGGTTTTCCCTGATAGATTTGTACAGAAGCTACTTGTTTCTTTTAAAAAAGGCAACATAAAAAATAATTCAAAATTTAGTTTTTAATGAGGTTTACCATTTACCTTTTTATTAACAGTTCTTTAAAAAGATAAGTTGATACTCTGTTTTGGGTGCTTCAATCTCAGCTTTGCTTTTCCTGCTTCATTTTTATATGGCCCTTATTTTTTCTCCAGAATGAAATATATGTTAATATAAATTTATATATAAGTATATAAACATGAAAGGAAACAATTGTGATCGTAATTATAAAAGGAAACAATTAAGATTAACTCATCCTTCACTTTCTTATGCATATCATATTTAAAATTTAAAGAAATCTTTAGACTAATTGACTAGACTTTAGACTTTAGACTAATAAGTAACTTGAAAAATGTTATTTCAATAGAGACAATAGAACCCTGCTAACTGGTATTTTTCCAAAACACAAAATACAGTACATTGCAAGATACTACCTCTTGTTGGAGCTGTTCATTTTACAAGTGTTTGACAAGTTTAAATGCACTATATCGGTAGAGTGGGCTTTAACCTGTCACACGCAGACGTATTAATCATAACAATAGGAACACCATCTAATCTCCAGAAAACAACAATAGAAAACAAAATCTAAAGCAAGAAAGATATAGCAAGAACTGCAAGACTGCAAAATAAGTTGACTTCATTTTCTCTAATTTAAACAAAATTTTCAGATTTGTTTATTACTTTATTAATTTACATCTTTCATTTTAGGATTTGATGTTGTAGTTTCATAGTAACAAAAGATCATATAACAATAGTTTAAGCTACTCCAAGGAATTTAAGTAAAGGGAAAGTATCTGCAAAAGAATAAGTACTGGGAAATCTCTTTTAAACAACAACAACAAGCTCTATTAGAGCATAGGTATTCCAGCAGTCTTGCATAGTAAAAAACACCGGTTGCCATACTCAATGACTTATTTATTCAACTGCAACTCCAAAACTCCAACAGTGTGAGAGCTGCATGGCCCTCAAGTCTTTATCTTGAATAATGAGGCACTTACAAGCTGCAATTGATTGTTTGGACCAGTCTGAACTGAGACTCAAACACGTCTTTAGACACATAGCAAGATACCTTCATTGTTCTGCCCGCTATGTGCTGAGAGCTTGACTTTTGTCTGGAAATACCAGTTTGCAGCAGTTTCAAATGAAAGCTGGGCATGTTTTTTCATACACACTTTCACATTTCAGCATACCAAAGACAAAAATTTCATTTTGGGTGGATCTCATTGCACAAGATGAGAAAAGCCATTTCAAAGATGCAGGGAGATTTATCTCATTTCAATCAGGCTTTTTCCATAATTCCACTTATATTAGAATGGCAAATAATATCATTTTTATGCAGCAACATAAGGAACTGGCAAATGCACATAAAAAAGTATCTCAATTTACACTGGTCATGAATGTTATCTGGTACACAAAGAAATTAAACACTTCAGCACAAGATTTTTGTTGAACTCCTAGCTATAACCATTGACAACTTTAATACTTTGCAAAATTACTTCATTGGTTCTCTTTAAAACTATTTCAGCAGAAAGGTGGGTGTTACCACACATAAGACCTCTGCTGTTAATCAAAATGCTGTTGTTTTTAGCAAAGAAGATCTGATTTTGTTCAAAAATCTTTTTCTCAAAATGCATTTGCTATTTTATATTGCTTCAAGTTAGGAAAGAGTTTATTATGTATTTGAAGTATTTTACAACCCTRAGAAATTTATAAAAGGTATTAAAAGGTTACAAGCAGGCTTAAAATTATTTGTATAGAGTAAAGAAATGGAAGCCACTGGAAAGGAATGCATGTGAAAAGTTATGTTAAAACATAAGTGTAAGTCTTTGACAACCAGAGTAAACAGAGAAACAGAACGAGCAAAATTAACTGAATTGGAAAATGAATGCCTGATGGTACATTTTTGTTCCAAGATAATGAAAAGTAACTTAGCCTCTTCTTCCTAAGTAACTTG